CACCTCTATGCTCACTGTACATTATTTATAATAAATAGCCAAGATATGGGAACTGCCAAGTGCCCATCAGTAGATGAGTAAATAAAAAAGCTGTGGTAGCTGGTGTGGCTCAGTGGACTGAACACCCACCTGTAAACCAAAAGGCTGTCAGTTCAATTCCCAGGGCACATGTCTGGGCTGCAGGCCAGGTCCCCAGCTGGGAGCATGTGAGAGACAACCAGTTGATGTATCTCTCACACATCAATGTTTCCCTCCTTCTCTTTCTCCCTCCCTTCCCCTCTCTCTAAAAATAGATAGATAAATAAATAAATAAATAACTTTTTAAAAAGATTCGTTTTTAGAAAAAGCTATGGTACAGTTGCAAAATGGAAAACTACTTGGCTACAAAAACGAAGAAAATCCAGGACTTCTGGCCAAGATGGAGGCATAGGTAGACACACTGTGCCTCCTTGCATAAGCAAAATTAAAGACAACAAAAACTTAGAAACAAAAAAGCACCCAGACTGACAGAAAACTGAACTGTATGGAAGTCTGGCAACAATTTATCCAGACTGTAAGAGGGGCAGAGTCAGTGGCCAGCAGAGAAGGGTCACGGCAGGAAAAAGTGGTGGTTGGTGGACCCAGGCACACAGGCGGCAGCCAGCAGAGTCCGGGCGTAAGGTGGCAACAAGCAGACCCAGTGAGGTGTGCAAGGCAGCTGGCTGACCACAGTTATACATTCATGTACAGGTGAAAATGGGCAGCAAGACAAACTGCGCAACCCAAGGCCCCAGCACCAGGAAATGAAGCCTAAAAGCATCAATTGAAAACACTTGTGGGGGTTAAGGTGCCGGAAAGACCCCCAGCCTTACAGGAGAGTTTGTTGGAGAGACCCACAGGGTCCTAGAATGTACACAAGCCCACCCACCCAGGAACCAGCACCAGAAGGGCCCAATTTGCTTGTGGGAAGCAGCAGAAGGGACTGAAATTCAAGAGAGAGTGGAGCAAGAGCCATTGTCCCCCCGCTGACCCCATTTCCACATACAGCATCACAACCCAGAGACTGGGTTGCCCTACCCTGGTGAACACCTAAGGCTCCACCCCTCACTAGGTAACAGGTGTGAAAGACAGAAAAAAATGGCTCAAACAGAAGAACAGATCAAAGCCCCAGAGCCAAAACATCTAAGTGACCAAGAGATAGCCAACCTATCAGATGCACAGTTCAAAGCACTGGTGATCAGGATGCTCACAGAATTGGTTGAATTTGGTCGCAAATTAGATGAAAAAATGAAGGCTACACTAAGTGAAATGAAGGAAAATGTACAGGGAACCAACAGTGATGGGAAGAAAACTGGGACTCAAATCAATAGAGTGGACCAGAAGGAAGAAACAACCAAACAGAAAAGAATGAAGAAACAAGAATTCAAAAAAATGAGAGGCTTAGGAACCTCCAGGGCATCTTTAAATGTTCCAACATCCAAATTATAGGGATAGCAGAAGGAGAAGAGGAAGAGCAACAAGTGGAAAACTTATTTGAAAAAAAATAATAAAAGAGAACTTCCCCAATCTGGCAAAGGAAATAGACTTCTAGGAAGTCCAAGAATCTCAGAGAGTCCCAAAGAAGGTGGACTCAAGGAGGAACACACCAAGGCACATCATAATTACATTACCCAAGATTAAAATGAAGGAGAGAATTCTAGAAGCAGCAAAAAGTCACCTACAAAGAACTTCCCATCAGACTGTCAGCTGATTTTTCAAAAGAGACCTTACAGGCAAGAAGGGGCTGGAAAGAAGTATTCCAAGTCATGAAATCCAAAGACCTACATCCAAGATTGCTCTATCCAGCAAAGCTTTCATTTAGAATAGAAGGGCAGATAAAGTGCTTGTCAGATATGGAGAAGTTCAAGGAGTTCATCATCACCAAGCCCTTTTTTTTTTATTTTTTTTAAAGATTTCATTTATTTATCTTTAGAGGGGAAGGGAAGGAGAGAGGGAGAGAAACATCAATGTATGGTTGCCTTTCATGCGTCCCCTGCTGGGAACTGGCCTGCAGGGAACCAGCCTGCAACCCCAGTATGTGCCCTGACTGGGAATGGAACCACGATTGTCTTGTTCGCAGGCCCGCACTCACCAAGCCCTTATTTTATGAAATGTTAAAGGGACTTATGTAAGAAAAAGAAGATAAAAAATATGAATGTAATGGCCATTAGTAGTGGAAACATACGGACAGCCGTTAGGCATCTGCAGTTCCTGAGACTGGGTAATAAATAAACCTCCAGGAACAGTTGGGTTCAAAAAAAGAAAAAATTCTAGCCAAATAAGGTAACTAACCAGGGCCCACCAGCAGCAACACCCACCAATTAGAGAGACCCTCGCCGTTTTCAATTTAGCAACCTAGCTAATAGCTAACCGCCACATCTGCTTCTGTAAGCCCGCACTCGCTTGCTCTGCCCTATAAAAACCCCGTAGTTTGTAAGCCACGCGCGGCTTCCATGTTGTAGCTCTGAGAAGCTACCTGACTCCCCAGAGGGAAGGAAGCCCGCCCCTGCGCAGGTAAAAACTTTTGGCCAATAAATACCATCATAAGCTCTAAGTTTCTGGATGTCTGATTTCTCGCCCATCGAATGCAACAATGAACAGTAAAAAGACAGCAAACTCATAGTTATTAATGACCACACCTAAAACAAAAGCAAACTAAGCAAACAGAACAGGAACAGAACCACAGAATGGAGATCACATGCAGTTATCAACAGGGGAGTGGGAGGAGGAGAGAGGGGGGAAAAGGTACAGAGAATAAGTAGCATAAATGGTAGGTAGAAAATAGACAGGGGGAGGGCAAGAGTGGCGTGGGAAATGGAGAAGCTAAAGAAGTTATGACACATGGACATGAACTAAAGGGGGAGAATGTGGGTGGGAGGGAGCGGAAAGGAATGAAGGGGGGGAAATGGGACAACTGTAATAGCATAATCAATAAAATATTTTTTTTTAAAAGAAGGAAATCTTACCTTTTAGGACAGAATGCATGGACCTGTCAAACACTATGCTAAGTGAAATAAGCTAGTCAGAGAAAGACAAATACCACATGATTTCACTCATGTGTGGAATCTAATGAACAAAAAATACAATAACAAACAAAGTAGAAACAGATTCATGAATACACAGAAAAGACTGACAGTTGTGAGTAGAAAGGAGTTGAAGGGCTAGGTGAAGAAGGTGAAGGGATTAAGTAAAAAAAGAAACCTCATAACACAGACACCAGAGAGAAATGTGCCTGGGGGGAGGTAGAAGAAGGTAAAGGGGATAAAAGGTGATGAAAGGAGACCTGACTTCAGGTGGTGAACACACAATACGATATACAAACAATGCATTATAGAATTGTATACCTAAAATCTATACAGTTTTATTAACCAATGTCACCCAATAAATTTAATTTTAAAAAAGAAAAAAGTGATATCATTCCCTTGTTACTATAACTAAGAGAGGGAATATCGAGAGAGAAGCAACCAGGGAGAAATTTGACACCATTGGCCTCTTTCTTCCTGAAGCCCAGTTTACCCTCAGCTTTGAGGACACTACCATCTCATGTCTCCCTACACCTCTCTGTCCATGCCTTCTTAGTTCCATGTGTCCCCTCTTTACATGCTGGTGCTCTCTGGGCTCCACCCCGGGCGCTATTCTTACCCTACACACTGGCTTCCCTAAGCTTTCTCATCTATGCCTATGGCTTCAACTGACCAAAATATTTATCCAACTCAGACTTCTTCCCTGAGTGCCAGGTTCAGGTTTCTATCTTCCCTACCTCAATTCCTACCTGCCTTGTAAGAGCCTCAAATATAAGCTTGTACATAACTGATCTTATAGTATCTCCTATTCCAATGAGTGGCACACCACTCACCCATCATCCAAGACAAATCTTGGCTCTACCCACTTAACATCTTCAAGCCATCCTTTTCTCTCTATCCCTTTTGCTATTGTCTTAGCCCAGGCCCTCACAATTTTATCCTTTAACTATTGTAATAAAGTTTCCTAAATAGTACTACAAAAGCAGCATATTAAAAGCCTGGAGAATTGGAATGTTTCCACATAAAAATAATAGTCACCCCTATGTCTCTCTGAGATGCACTATAAACTTGCAAAACAATTTCACTTCAATTTCAAATTACACAGCAATTTTAATATATTTTCTTGTTTGATCTTCTCATGTTCACCTTGCCAAAAAACAAGCATAGTCTTGTAAGAAAGGTAGAACTTTACAGACATAGAAAACTGACACTCAGAGAAGCTAAGTGATTCACCCATCCTTCAAAATGATATTCTATACTTCTCTCCCCTTTTCTAGATTAGGGGGGAAAATTCCTGAAACTTAAACAGGAAAAAAAAAATCAAGTTTTTAAAAGCCAGCACTTATAATCATAATACAGTAAATGTTGCATCATGTGTAAGAAATTCTACAAATGTGTACTAACATTTATTAACAAGGTAAATGTAGGACATTTTACTACAAATAGCAAAAGGATTACAAGCACTGAAATATTCATTCTCCAAAGCAGATGACTTGGGTACAGACAGACACACAGTCTCTCACATGCATAACCACATTCCTTCAAGGAGCCATCTGAGAACCAAAAGAAGCTTATGTTTAATATCATGCTATTTGTACCGTATCCTAATTCTGAGTACTAGGAAAAACTGGGTAAATAGGATTTTCACATACATGAACTATTCGAGAGTTTACTCACATTCATAATTCGTCTCTAAGAATAGAGATCCATGAAAGAACAAAACAAATCCACAAAAGAACAAAACTGCAGATATACTTTGCCTACCACACACCTCACTTGTTCTGTAACTCTGTAGTTAAAAAAAAAGTTAATATACATTAAAATATGTTTTATAATATTTAACATATTTTATAACTCTTATATGTACAAACTTTTGGGCCTGTAGTTATTTAAGCCAATGTGTTTACCTTGGAAAGATTATTAAAAATTGTAAGTATGCTGTTGTTGTAAGGTACTTACAACATAAAATCTTGTTCCCAGGAAGGTTCATCGCCACGAACTGCTACAGTTGTGCTCTTCACATTCTGTACTTTCAGGGTCACATATGTGTTAAATTTGTCTTGGAAAAATGCAAAATGAAGATATAATACTTAGTGCTCAGATTGTTATCCAATCTCATAAAGCCCTTGGAATTAAATAATATCCAAATTAAAGCATTATATGTAGAACAAAAAATAAAAATATATATTGTACAAAGTAGCATCATTCTAATCATAATAGGGTTGAAAAATATATAAAACCCATGCTTCCTTCAAAAGCATAATTTGTAACAGTGTTTTGAAAATTTAAGAAATGTATTTGACTCAAGAAACACACATACACACATATAAACTAGCATAAAAGTTCATAAAATACAAGATGTGATACACTGTTATTTTCTATTCTATTTTATTCAATCTATTAAAATGTTAATCATAACTGGCCCTGCCTGGTGTAACTTAGTGGATTAAGTGCTGGTCTGTGAACCAAAAAGTCACCAATTTGATTCCCAATCAGGGCACATGCCTGGGTTGTGGGCCAGGTCCCCAGATGGGGGCGCACAAGAGGCAACCATCACACACTGATGTTTCTCTCCCTCTCTTTCTCCCTTCCTTACCTTCTCTCTCAAGATAAATAAATAAAATCTTTAAAAGAAAGAAGTTAATCATAACAAAATAAATTGATTTTATAGCCCACCTGCAGTTTGAAAAAAAACTAATATAATTGATCTAGTAGAAAAAATATGTAACTTTTTTTTAGTAGGTACAAAGCCTTTATTATTGGTAAAAACCTAGAAATGGTCTCATTCTGATGAAAAATACAATCTTTTCTATACTTAGGGCAAGTTATAAAACCTCTTTTTTTGAGAGTAGAATTTTTCCAATAAATCAATTATTTCCAGTGAACCTCAGTCACAATAAACACTCTAGTCTCTGAGCTTTATTAGTTAGCTGTCACAATCACACTAATAGAAGATCTTCATTTTCCAAAGAATAAAAACTGTAACGGCTGTCATTTTCTAGTTCAATTTCCCTGCCTGGCATTTTGGGACTTTCATAGGACAACAGAAGGTCTGACACAGGAACTTTGAGAAGACACGGCAGCAATCCTTTCACCTTTTGAATTGTGATGGAGTCGGGCAGTTGTTTTTCTAAGACTTTCTGTTCCAGGTGGTGAGGATATTTTATCCTCAGTGTTAGTAGCTGGCTTTGAGCAAATGTGGTGGTTATGTTTTGAGTTCCCCCTCCCCGTGTGCACCATTTTTGAGGCAGACTGCCTGGTACCTGCGATGGGCCAACAGAAGCTCCTCATTCGGTCTCTTTTGGTCTGGATCCTGATGCCCATCCCCCTTTTTCCATTCATTTCCAAACACTTTTTTTCTGTACTCCAGCTTGGCTCTAGCCTCTTGCCTCTTCTCAGGAATAATCTGACATTTGTTTGCAAACCCTGACATTTGACAGGGTTTGCAGCTGACCGATTCTTGGCAATAATGAACTGGTAGGTAGTCTGCACTCTACTTCCCTCAGTCCTGGTTTCTTCGTCAGGACAAAGAACTCAGACTCTGTAACTAATCCAGCTTGATAGATGACCATTGTGATATCTGGCTGTCACTGACTACAAGGTTTTGCAAGGAAGGAAACACTGACGTTTTGCACTGAATCCCAGCATCCGGGAAATGTAGAGAAGAAATCCCAGTGTTAGAAAGAATTGGTTGTTCTAATCTGGACAGATATGCTATTAGAAACAGCTGATTTTCATCAATTAACTGATTATGGGAAAGTTCTAATAACTTGCCCATTTGTAAAACATCAGCTGGCCTTTCTGAAATGGAAAGGCTCTAGGCAGAGCCTTTAGACTCTAGGCAGAGCTCCTGAAGGACCGGATACCCTACAGCACACTGGAGCACCTTGGCACACCTTCCTTTCAACTGAGGACTAAACTTTGAATGCAGGAAATATTCCTGGTTAGAGATGGTGAGTTGGGGGGAAATCTCAGTTTATTGTCCCTGAGATTAAGGACTTCCAGGTGTCTGAGCTGATCAGCAGTATCTACAACTTCATCCCATGCCAACAGCAGGTTTATTGGCAAATCCACTCCTTTAACATTAGGTCACGCTTTGGCAATGGTTCCCTTTGTCACCAGTACAACTTACTGCATAGTTTTTCAAAGAAATTTTTGGAACATGCTCAGCTGGCTTTGCTGTGTTATAAGTCAAAACCAATAGTTTCCACAGGTCTATTAGCAATTTCATTTTATTTCTCTTTTTTTATTGTTGTTTGAGTACTCATATGCTCTTTTCCATCTACCTCTGGTCCATCTTTTAACACATAGTAGTTCTTAACTACAGTAAGAAAGTCTACTCCAGCCCTGGCTGGTATGGCTGAGTGGACTGAGTGCCAGCCTGTGAACCAAAGGGTCACTAGTTTGATTCCTAGTCAGGGCATATGCCTGGGTTGCAGGCCAAGTCCCCAGTAGGGGGTGCTTGAGAGGCAACCACACATTGATGTTTCTCTCCCTCTCTATCTCCCTCCCTTCTCCTCTCTAAAAGTGCCATAGAAACACACTATTGTGCATTCTCCATTAACTTCAACCCTTCAACCAATGGCATCTGATGTCAAAGTGTCATTCATTATAATATAGCCAGAATCCAAAATATGAGATCTAGGCTGCAGGTTCAATCCCTGGTCTGGGTGGGTCAGAGGGCAACCGATCGATGTTTCTCTCTCACTTCTATGTTTCTCTCTTTCCCTTCCACTCTCTCTGCCTGCAGCCAGCCGGGTGGTCAGGGTAGTGGCCCCTCACATGTATTGTGCCACCAGAAAAGATATGTAACTTTAAATGTAGAAAAAAATAAGTACCATAACAGAAAAAGTGATAAAGAATTGCAGAAGAGGAAAGGGTTACCTCTAGCTGTTGAAAGAAATAAGAATTCAGGATAAATCCCCATAAACAAAGTGAATTTCAAGCTTTATCTATTCATTTATCAGGAATGTTATCATGGAATTGGGAAAAGGAAATTCTCTAACCTAACAGTGTAAGTTGAATACTAAACAGAAGTGGGTGGCCTAGAACTCAAAACTCGGAGATCTGACCTATTGCTTAACACAGCATATTCTATACTCACCCTTCTACCTTCACATCAGCCATGAGGAGGGGACCTGAATTGAGAATTCACTTTTCTATATAACATATTAATCATAATTTTGTAAAATAAATAAAGAAGCCCTGGCTGGCGTAGCTCAGTGGATTGAGCGCGGGCCTGTGAACCAGAGTATCACGGTTCGATTCCCAGTCAGGGCACATGTCTGGGTTGCAGGCCAGATCCCAGCAGGGGATACATGAGAGGCAACCACACATTGATGTTTCTCTCCCACTCTTTCTCCTTCCCTTCCCCTCTCTCCAAAAATAAATAAAGAAAATATTTTTAAAAAAATAATAAAGAAAGAAAGAAAGAAAGAAAGAAAGAAAGAAAGAAAGAAAGAAAGAAAGAAAGATCATTATTTTTGACTCATCACACTGGCAAAGATTGCTTACAATGACTACCTGTTAGGGAAGAGAAAAAATGGGCCCTGTCATGCACTTCTAGCAGAAGGTAAATCTTTCTCTTTAATATCACTAAAAATCATGTAGTTTATATATGACCCCCATCCATATCCAGTGTACCAGTGCGGTAGACCCCTGAGCTATGTTTGATATCATATGGTTTTGTAGTCCACTCCCCATATTCCACCATAGCTGATTAGACCAGAGCCAGATGCCACTCATCTGTGTGTTGAGAACATTTAGGATCTACTCTCTTAGAAAATGAAATTTCAAATACTACACAAGACTTGGCTTTTTGTTGGTTTTTTTAGTAGCTCTTTAGGAATGTTTTCATAACATTCCTTAACACTGTTAACATTGGTTTGCCAATACCTACTCAGGAAATTAAGTGATGAACCTGCTTTAACCTCTTTTTTATTATTTTTTTATTATTGTTCAAGTATAGTTGTCTTTATTTTCCCCCCACCAATACCCCTGACCCACCCTTGAACCTAACTCCTTTGGCTTTGTCCATGTGTCCTTTATACATGTTCTTTGACGACCCTTCCCCAATTTTCACCCATTATCCATCTCCCCTCTGGTTACTTGTAAACTATACACATATTGCTGTATGTTAGATCTTCAGAAATTACTTATCTTGCATAACTGAAACTCTGTACCCCTTTGACTAATCTCCCCATACTGAGTTATTAATTAATAATTTAAGGAATTTACTGAGTTTAATTAATTTAATCAATGAATTCAATAAAATTATTTGTTTAAAAGGTTGCTTTTAAATCACAGCAAGTATGATGGGACATGATAATAGAAGTCTGGTCTTACCTGGTGAACCCTGGAATTTGGCTCTTTTAACTGCAAGAGAAAAAAAGGCACCATGAAAAAATTAATTTATTTAGCCAACATTTCCTGAGCACCTCCTAGGCCAAGGTCACAGTTAGGGCCAGTTTTTTACATCTAAGTCTTTAGAAGAGAATAGAAGCTAGGACTTCTAATCAAAGCTTGAAGGCAGAGTTAAAAGTCATTCAATCTAATCTCATACTGAACAGAGAAATGTCTCACAGCCTCCTGACAAGGAAGTAGAGAAAACTAGCTAACTTACTCCCAGGTCAGGCAACCAATTTCAAGTCATATATCATTTTAATGGTTAAGTCACATATATTCCTTTCCTAAAACCTATCAAAAAAAAATATCCTCTATTCCATTCACGCCCAAAGAAGAGCCTAACTGGCCAGATCTAGACAATAGGTTTAAGAAGAGTGAGAAGTAACTTCATTCTGGGAATAAGTAAATATCAAGAGGACCTCCTATGTAAGAGCTGTTTCTAAAACTGCATAAGAAATGCCACACTTGGACCACAGCATGCCAGCTCCTACGAAAGGTCAAAGACCACAAATGAAGGAAACTGCTAAATTCTAAAATGTACCAATATCTATCAAATATTTCTATCAATGAAGATTAGGATCATGTGCCACAGGGGATGAAAAAAGCCAAAGGCAATCCCAACACACAGTGCCTGAAAGGGCATTTGAGGGTACAGGTCTGCCATTCTCCTTGTCCTGCTTTACAAAAGTGAAAGCTTCACCTGGGCTTACATCCAGCCCCAGCTTAATATTTCCAAGAGATGAGTGATTCTGCACCTTTTACAAGATCCTCTTCATTTTCAGGAAGCACTTAGTGCTAAAAGCTTTATCTTTTTATTTATTTATTTATTTATTTATTTATTTATTTATTTATTTATTTAGAAAGAGGAGAAGGGAGGGAGGAAGGGGGCAGACAGAGGAAACACTGACATTGGAGAGATATACCCAACTGGGGGTATGCGAGAGGCAACAGATCCATGTATTTCTGGCACATTTATGTTTCTCTCCCTCTCTTTCTCCCTCTCCTCTCTCTCTAAAAGTAAATAAATGAGAAGCCAAAGAACTTATATGTACAACCCATGGACATGAACTATAAAGGGGGAGGAATACTGGAGGGAAGAGGAGCACAGAGTACAGATGGGTAAAGGGGAGGGAAAAAAATTGGACAACTGTAATAGCACAATCAATAAAATAGACTTTAAAAGATAAATAAAATTAAATAAAATCCCTGTGTTGGAGCACTAACCCTCAAGGTGATGGTATATAGAGGTGAGTCCTTTTGGGTTAACTGGGTTTGGTGAGGTCGTGAGGGTAAGGTCCTCATGATGGGATTAGTATCCTTACAAGAAGGAAGCGGAAAGCTAGGTCTCTCTCCCTCTCCACCATGTGAAGATACAGTGAGACGGTGGCCATCTGCTAGTCAAGATGAGGGCCTTGAGACAAAGATGAGGCAGTGGCTGGGGTAGGAGCCTGGAAATTTGAGCAGGGTTGGTTGGTGGTTTGGACCAGTGCATGGCCTGGGGGCTCTCCCGGATATGGGTGCTGATGTGACAGTCCAACTGCAAACAGAGCAGCTGCAGCTCTCCCCACTCGTCTGGAGTAATGTCTTGGCAGCTGACCACTACCCCAGCAAGTGTGAGAAGGCTGTGACACAGGTAGCAGACCTTGTGATCTAGCTCAGCACTGGCCTTTGGCTGTTGCTCCTGGCAGGGTGGCAAGGTCTGAGTCCAGGTACTGCCTAAGGGATAATGACCTCATAAGGCTCAGGAGCCAGCTGAGCTCTACAAGCTTTCACTGGGAACAATGACCGACTGGCTTGGCCCTGAGCAGCGGGTCTGCCTAGGGCCAGCTGTAGTGTATGAGTTCTTGACTTCATGTAGGAAAGATTTCGTATGAATCCAGGTGACTATGAGGATATATTTATTGAAGCTGGAGACAGCGAAACAAGGAAGGGCTTAGCATAGAGGAAGCAACAGGAGAACCCAGGCTGGGCTGCCTTAGCTCACTGGGAAGTCGGAGAAGAGACAGCTCTGGGAACAGCTTCAGAGTGTTAGTTAGTCTGGGACACGCTGCCAGTTGCCCACTGCCTTAGAGTTCAGGAGATCCGAGCCTGTGAAGAAAGAAGTGTGGAAGAAATGAAAGAAATGGTGAGGGATGCTCCCCAGAGGGAGAGGGCAGCTGTGATAATTATTTTTAAAGATTTATAGAGCTGACTAGCAGTGTTAACTGGTAACCACACTGCATTAATTCCCAGGTGAGGAAGAGCTCTTGGAGAGCCAAGGCCAGCAGAGTGTCTGTAGTCTGGTGACAACCCCATTTCAAGCTCATTTATCTGAAACCCTTCTTTCCTACCCTTCTGGCTCATTCCTTCTGTGACCCATCACATTCCACACTGAGTTTATCCACCAACACGCTGCACCTGCCAGTCAAGAGCTCCATGTTTCTGGAACATATACCAACAACCACTTAAGCACTGAGTGCAGGGAGAGCAGCGCTACCTCAGTTTTGCCAGAGGCATATCTTCATAGTATTTTTTTATGAGTTTTCTGTATTTTCACGTTGTAAGTGGAAATACGTTTTTTCCATTTGTCTCAGAGCTAAAGTTTCTGTTCCCAGTGGACCACCTGACTTAAAGAAAAACTGTGGTATGGAGCTCTGCTTGAATACTTTTTATTTTATGAGTATCATCAACTTACCTGTCTGGCAAGTACAGAAGCCTGGGGCTGGCCTGAACTCTGCCAAACAAATACAAAAGTGTATTTAATAGTTAAATGTGTGTTCTTTCCCTTCTTGCTGTCCCCCTGTTGTCATTTATCCCCTAGATGTTATTTATTATCTCTTTGTTAGTGTCAGGCTCCTTTGGGGTAATGTGATGACTAGTTTGGGTTTACATGACTCTCTTCTCCTTCCACTGCCCCGTATATATTTCTATATTCCTTCCTGTTTCTTTGCCTGCTAAAAACGGCCATAATAAAGGGAGGTGCCTTCAATATATGAAGTATAAGAAGAGTGCCAGGGATCGTCATAATGGAGTTTGGACTATTTTCACAAATTGGAACATGGATTTTCTCAGCTCTTTCCTCACAAGAGGGAGGCCCAGTTGCCGACTCCTCTGTGTGGTGGCTTCATGAGGCCAGCTTTGAACAACTGCCACACAGGAACTGACTCTGGTCCTACCTCATTTCAGTAGATGGTCCTCTTATTATTTTTCTATTTAAAAAAAATATCCTCAAAAAAACTTCTGGAAGGGTGGGTGGCATGAACTTGTACAGTACAAAACAGATTGAAAAGGAAATCTTCTAAATAAACACTTATGCAAATATTTTGTTTTAAAAAAAAGGAAGAGGGCCTTCACCAAGAACTTAACCATGCTAGAAACTTGATCTTGGACTTCCCAGCCTCCAGAGCTGTGAAAATAAATGTCTGTTGTTTAAGCCATCCAGTCTATGGTATTTTGTTGCAGTAGCCAGAGCTAAGACAACTACATAGCTAGTCTTCATTGTCCATTCCTACAGGACTTTTACCCTTGCTTTCAGTTATCAAGTATGATTGTTATAGGTTGAATCTCCTTAAAAATCTTATATTGAAGTTCGTACCCCCGGTAACTCAGAATGTGATCTTACTTGAAAACAGGGTTATTACAGATGTAATTAGTTCATATGAAGTCAGCAGAGTGGACCCTAATCTATTAAGAGTGGTATCATTACAAAAAGAGGAAATATGGCACAGAGATATATACATGAGGAGCACACCATATGAAGATGAAGGCAGAGATGCTTCTACAAGCCAAGGATTGCCTGCCGGCCAGCCACAGAAGCTAGGGAAGAGGCATGAAACAGATTCTCTCTCACAATCCTCAGGAGGAAGCAACCCTGCAAGCACCTTGATCTTGGATTTCAAGCCTCCAGAACCATGAGACAATAACTTTCTGTTGTTTAAAGTCACCCAGTTTGTATTACTTTGTCATGGTAACCATGGCAACCTAATATAATTATAAGTAAACTTTGATGACTATCTCTACAGATCATCAGAGATGTATAAAAATTTTTCCTTTCTTGGGATAAAGTCCTAGAAGTGGAACTACAGTCAAGCAGCACAGTTTTATAGCTCTTAATACATAATATCCCACAGGACTGGTCATTTCTCAACAGACTTTCATACATTCCTTAACTTCTCCCCAGGATCTCCAGAGGTTAGGGGAAGGCTTATCAGTCCCCTTTTACACAGAGAAAAACAGGCTCAGGAAATTAATAATGAACTAGTAATCAAACACAACATTCTTTTCAATAGACCAGAGCTGCATTGTCCAATACGGGAGCCAGCAGTTGCATGTGGCTATTTAAATTTAAATTCATCTAAATTAAATAAAATTAAGATTTAGTCACTGGGTCATACCAGTCACATTTCAAAAGCTCAGTATAAGTAGCTCAGTATAAGTAGCTTCATGTAACTAGTGACCAATATGTTAAACAGAACATGGAACATTTTCATTATCCAATAGTGCTGAACTACAGCATATGAAAATGTAGAATACAGCCTTACAATGCTTGGTAAGACAGATCTTTGCATACTAAACCAGTTAACCAAGATGCAGTAGAGGACATCTGTAACACATAGGGACAGGAAGCAAGCTAAGACACACTGAAGCACATATAACAAAAGCCCATCTTAACTGTACTTGAACAACAATTTAAATACATACATACATACATACATACATAAAGTCCATCTGAGAAACACTGATCAGTTGCCTCTTGCACACACCTGGACCTGGGACCGAGCCCACAACCTGGGCCTGTGCCCTGACAGGGAATCGAGCTGTCCACCTTTTGCTCTGCAGGATGATGTTCATCCCACTGAGCCACACCAGTCAGGGCCTTATTGATTCTTTTAGAAAAAGAAAAACATAAGTGTGAGAGAGAAAAACTGATTAGTTGCCTCCCATACATACCCTGCCCACATCTACAAACCTAGTATGTGCCCCAACTGGGA